CATGGTCCCAGGGTCCTGGGATCGAGCCCCGCATCAGACTCCCTGCTCAGCGGGAAGTCTGCTTCTCCCTCTCCCACTCCCCCTTGCTTGTGTTCCCTCTCTCGCTGTGTCTCTCTCTGTCAAATAAATAAATCTTTAAAAAAAACAGAAATCTGCAAATCAGGGCACTTGGGTGGCTCAGTTGGTTAAGTGACTGCCTTTGGCTCAGGTCATGATCCTGGAGTCCCTGAATCAAGTCCCACATTGGGCTCCCTGCTCGGCAGGGAGTCTGCTTCTCCCTCTGACCCTCCCCCCTCTCATGTGCTTTTTCTCTCTCTCTCAAATAAATAAAATCTTAAAAAAAAAAAAAGAATCAGCAAATCAGTCTGTGAGTGATATTTACATACTTAACATATTTTTGAGAAATGTTTACTCTTGTCAGATGTAATCATGCTCTAGAGAACTTTTCTGGTACTTCTGGGAATTTGGAACTTGCATGGTGATTTTAATAACTCCAACATTATTGTGAATCAGCATTTCTTTTTCCTCTCATGCATTAATAACTACTGGCAGTTTGGAAGGTAGTACCTTTAATCAGTCAGAAAGCCCATCTTAACATTTAGATTCTTTAATATAAACTGATTAATTCACCACAAACACTGAAATCTTGTTCTCTTACTACATAACTTTTAAGTCAGTAACTACCTTAACTATGATTTATTTTGACTGCTCTCATCTCGAAACAAGGAAAAAACAAAACAAAAAACAAAGATCATACATCAAAAAAAACAGATGAATAAAGAACTAAAGTAACTGGGATGCCTAGGTGGCTAGTCGGTTGAGCCTCCGTCTTCGGCTCAGGTCATGATCCCAGGGTCTTGGAATTGAGCCCCACATTGGGCTCCTTGCTCAGCAGGGAACCTGCTTCTCCCTCTGCCTGCCGCTCCCCCTACTTGTGCTCACTCTCTCTCTCTCTTTCTCTCACTCTCTGACAAATAAATAAAATCTTAAAAAGAAAAAAAACTAAAGTAAGAACATTCAATGCTCTCTGATACGAAAACAAGCATTAGCATTTTCCCTATTTCTTCTTCCCTTGTGAGATGTATCTACATTGGGAAAAGGGAGTTAACAGACTGAAATTTCAGTTCACAAGACAGCCTTAAATAAAGAATATATGCCTTGCAAAGAACACACAAACCTAAAAAGTTAAACAAAGGAAATCCTAATGGTTATGTTCATCACCCCTGGTTTTATACAAAAGAGCCCTCAAATAACCATGGAATTATAAATGCAAGCAATGTTACCACCCCATCTACTGGAGAAGGTGCAGGTAACTGAGTCAACTTTTAATAAATGTATCCTTGAGCCTTGTTACGAACTATTATCATGGAAATCCAGATAAAAATACTTCAAAACAGTAAGCAAGCCTTACCTACATCTTTTCGTCCTGGTTTTTCAAAACGTCTGTCACCTCTAGAAAAGATAAAATAAGTTTTCAAACAAGACTTGAGAGTAACAGACTTCCCATCCGTGACACCCACTGCCCTTTGTCTAACAGCACTGCTTTTTCAAATTATAAAACAAATGCATGGTTATTGCCTAACATTTGGAAAATACAGAAAAGCACAAAGATGAAAACAGAAATATCCACTATCTCACTTACCAAAAGCTAGCTTCTATTGACCCAGAATTGTTCTTTTTGTTTTATAAGTTATAGATTCTTTAATTAGATACATGATTTATTTTAGATACACACTATACGTAGTTTTATATACTGCTTTTAAAATGCATTTTCCCACATCATTAAATATTTTCAAAATCATCCTAACTCTAATGGTTATATAATATTCTATTGTGTGGATATACCATTCTATAAGAAACCACACTGATATTAAGCTGTTTGGCTTGTTTCTAAGTATATTATAAACATCATTACAGTGGCCATCTCCGTACAACACAACTTTGTGCAACTGACCTCCCTCATCAACAGACATCACATAAAGTCACAAAGAACAGAGAAGATGCTCTAATAGCAACAAACAATAAAATGTCAATTGTCAATGCCTCCCACTGAATGCTAATCAAATAGCAAATCTGATTAACTATGAAATATCCATGCTGGCACTAACATTTGAAACTATCTATCTAGAATGCTTCTTCCTTTAAATAAGGATCATTTAAAAATTTCTTAAAGTTTGATACTCAATTAGCAGCATTTTTTTAAATGAAATTGTGTAACTATGCGCAGAACTATCTCCTCTGTAAAAAGCAGAAAAACATGTTTTTTACACCAAGAAACCTTTAAAACAAGATCTGGATCTTTTAGTTACCTTTCCTCCCAGCTCTGTGACCTATGCATTTCCCTGCCACCTCCTCGACCAAACACACCCTCTACTTCATCAAAGCTTCTTTGGTAGAAACCACATTCACCTCTGCCTCTGCCTGAAAATAAGAAAACAGAAAAAATGATACTCAGATGTCAACTTTGGCACATATTCAACACCAAAGATTAATCTTTGAAGTTCTGTCGCTACACAAAGAGAAGGTCTACATTTAAACATTTAGCAAGGCCTGATGGATCTTTACCTGAGAAACCAATAATGGCACTGAAGAGGCTAGACCACAGGAGGTTGAAAGAAACAAGTTAGAAACAGATGTAAGAGTCCCAGTCCCAATCCTGAACAAAAAACAGTATCAACATTCAGTTCTTTAATATAAAAGTTCAACAGTGAAATTCTAAGATCAATAAACTATTACTACAAATTGGACCTTTTATTGGATTATTTTCAACAAAAATGAGAGATTTGGAGAGCTTGGGAAGAGAGCACATAAAGTATAAAAGCCAAGCATAAATGTTAAAATAATTTATCTAACTCCAAAGAAAAGATAATTTAATAGGGTCTACTAACTTTGTGAACTAACTCCTTAAAGGATATTCCACAGCAACAAAGGCACTCTTTCCACTCTGCCCAAGTCTTCAAATAAGAAAAGTATCAGGACTGAATATGAACCAGAGGACTGGTGAGAATGTGCCAAATGCAGGGATTGAGAGGCTCTAGGTGTTCAAGTATAAACTGGCCTTTACTAAAGACAATGTGGTTAGATCTATCAAAATTTGACCCAACGATTCTAACTACAATTTATCCTAACAGAAATACATGAATATGCAAATATATTTATATGAAGGAGTTCGTCGCAATCCAAAACACCAGAAACAACCTAATTAATCAATCAATAAATTAATTAATTCTGATAAAACAATTTGGGAGAACACTATGAAGCCACAGAAGATAAAACACTGACATTAAAAGAAATCTACACTGTCCTATTGAATGACAAAAGCATGCTAAATAACAGTACTTATAAAAATAACTCCACCTGTATAAATGATAGAACTGCACAGAGTCAGGAAATCCAACTGCTGGTCTGGGGGCAGAAAGCAATATGAACTTTTAACTTTATACTTTCTGTGCAATGTGAGGTTTTCTCGACTAACATGCACCATTTGTACTCAACACACAGGTCAGAAAACTTCCTGGGAAAGGGTGGGGAGTCCAGGGCTGTACTTCGATGAAATCTTAGCCATCATCTGTAGCTCAACTTCTTTAACAGTGTAAAACCACCCAAAGAAAAATGATGCTGAATCTCGAACAAAAGCATGAATGCATTCTAAAGCTAAAAACAACTGAGTTAAATAATTGTGGCAAATATCCAGTAGGATTTTTACTTCTTGCTTAAAATTTATCAAAACGTGACTCAGAATATAGTTGTACTTTATACAACCTTATATGAAATGCACACAATTATATGTGGGTAATCTTAGAAACAATGGGCACCCTTTTAACTAATCCAGATAATCCATTTCTTCATCTATAAAATGGAAGTGAGGACTAGGCTTGACTATAATAATCTTAAAGTTACCTTACAGTTTTGTCAATCTAACTTTACATCAACTTAAAGTTGAGAGGCTCTAGGTGCTCAAGTATAAACTGCCTTTACTGAAGACAATGTGGTTACAATCTATCAAAATTTGACTCAACGATTCTAACTACAATTTATCCTAACAGAAATACATGAATATGAAAATACATTTATATGAAGGAGTTCGTTGCAATCTAAAACGCCAGAAACGTTTTCTGGTTTCAGTACCTCTCTCCTTAGGGAATGTATACATTTCATCTAAAATCCTAAACCAGTGTAACGCAAACATAACAGTGTGGTGATCTCCCACAATGATGATTTTTTAAGGTGAAAGTCCCCTCTTCTAAAGAGAACAATTTTCTCAGGTAAACCATTAAGTACATGACACCTTGAAAACGAGTTTTATTTTTGAAATTTGAATATGAAAAATAGCCTTCAGGTTGCCAGAAAAACAAGCAAACCACAGACAAAATATTTTCTGCCAGTTTTATCTAGCATCAGTACTGGTCCTCCTTATCAGACTAAAGCTTTACGAATGGGCACATAAAAAGAATCAGATTCTAGAGCTCTCCAGTTTGTAAAACATAAGGAACAATCTTCAAAGTACAAGGACCATAATCATCTATAAATATAGTTCTCATATAAGAAAAGGCAACTATACATAACATGAAGAATCTTTCAGACAGCTAAGTATTTAAAGAACTGCCCTATTGCCTGAGATTTCACCAGATTACTTTGGGAGAATAAAATATACTTCCTTTAAAAAATACACACACACACACACACACACACTTCGTTTTAATGATGATGAGGACAAGTGGCTAACAACTGTGTAGATCTGTTGTATTATTAAACATCTTAACCAGATAAAATAGAAAGATGACAACTTTGTTGGGGAGTTGTCAACAAGGGAACCGCTGTTTCCCCACCCATTTGTTTAAATTTTACTAGTTCATGATATTTACAAGTCTAGAAGTCAATTTTCACATCAAAGTTTCCTCAAGTTAAAATAAAGAGCCAAAGTAATCATCTAATGTTAGCCCTGCCCATGCAAAACAAAGCAATAATCATTACTTAACCAACAAGTTAAAATTAAGTGCTAAGTGAAAAAAACAAAACCAGATTAATGGTCTTATGAAATCATTAGAAAAGAAATCAAGAGTTCGGACAATGGTTTTAGAAATGTTTTTCCCAAAGTCAGTTCATTCATTTGGCTGCTTTCATGCCATTTGTTCACATCAATGTTAATTAAGTCACCACTTTTCTCACAGTATCTATCTTTTGCACATGCCCTGTTTAAATTCTGAATGTAGGATAGTATGTGATAGCTCTCTACTTCAAAGAAATCACAAAGCAGGGAGAAATTTATCAATCTTTGTTTCTAGATACAGAATTTTTTTAAAGACTGTTTGGAGAGACTGGTTAGTATTTGCAGCACACAAAGTTGGTGATGACTTGAGGCTCATAAAACAGCTGGCTTGGGGGGCCTGGGTGGTTCAGTCGTTGGGCATCTGTCTTCGGCTCAGGTCACGATCCCAGGAACCTGGGATCGAGCCCCACATCAGGCTTTCTGCTCCGCGGGAAGCCTGCTTCTCCCTCTCCCACTCCCCCCTGGTTTGTGTTCCCTCTCTCGCTGTCTCTCTCTCTGTCAAATAAATAAAATCTTTAAAAAAATAAAAAATAAAACAGCTGGCTTGTGGGCCACACTTCTTGAGTAATAATCTCTGTAGGACTTACCCTAAAGAGCATAAGAGGCAAAGCTGCCTGAGTGTAACCTCTCCCTGCTGCCAGCCTACCGTAGAAAGACACAGGAAACACCCAAGTAGCAGGCCAGAGCCATCTCCAAAACACCACTGCACCACCAAGATGCAAAGATCTCAGATGAATTCTGGACCAAAAGACCCTAATTACATGTGGGAATCTGCATGGCCTGTGGAGCTTCTGAAGTGCATACACGCCTAAATCTTACCACCCAGTATCCTGTGGCAGAGGTAACTGCTCTTCTAGAGACTGACAAATTCAGAAGGAAAAACCATGTATACCTTGGTAATAGTACCTGGCCTACAAGTGGAGAACTTTAGTTAGCCTCTTCATTAATCACCACACCTGCATTCCCACATTCTGAATGGATGACTGAAAGCAACCTCTTCACAAAAATGCATAATCTAATACAGTCTCTGTAAACACTAGGTGTAAATGGGGCACTTGGGTGGCTCAGTCGTTAAGCATCTGCCTTCGGCAGAGGTCATGATCCCAGCGTCCTGGGATCGAGTCCCACATCGGGCTCCCTGCTCAGCGGGAAGCCTGCTTCTCCCTCGCCCATTTCCCCCTGCTTGTGTTCCTGCTCTCGCTATCTCTGTCTCTGTCAAATAAATAAATAAATAAATAAATAAATAAATAAATAAATAAAATCTTTAAAAAAAAAAAAAGACTAGGTGTAAATTACTCTATTCATAAGGCATAACTTTAAGAAAAAATAATTTAGATATTCCACACTCTTGATCATGCCAAGCTGGGTGGTGCAGTATGTGGAAACAAAGGCACCTAGCTTTGTAGAGACCTAATTCTTCCACTTCTAAAGCACCTCTTCAAAAACTTACAGGATATGTTTAGGCTACTGCTATGATTTAACCACCTTAAGAGGTAAATGCTAAATATTTATATTACAAACATCCTTATGTTGCAGAAAATCAACGAACACAAAACGGAGCAGACAGCAAAAAAACAAGTAACATCAAAAAATAATTATTCTTCTGAGACACAAATCTGTAAAACTATAGGTTAAATAAGTGACTGCTTATTATTTTTTGATCTACCTCTAAAACAGCCCTAGTACTGATGAGACAGCTTTTACTAAAGCCTCCCTGTTGCTGGAACTGGCACACCGCCTTATACAGAAACCCAGTGTCATGGAGGCCTGCAGGGACTTCAGTGCTGCGCCAGCAGCCAAGGCACTTCTAGGAGCTATGGCAAAATGCAAGGTTCCCTGGGCATGAGGAATATGGATGAGGTTTTGCCAAAGTTAACTGGCCATCCAGAATCCTCACACTCAAGAATTACCCTCCTCTGCTCCAAATAAGTGGGTATGGAGCAGATACACTGAGAGATGATTCAGAAAACAAATGTTCAGGACACTCAGTATACAGTTAATGTCAAAGAGCAGTTTTTTAAAAATCAAGTATTAAAATATGTTTAAAGTGACTTCTCTCTCCCTCCATTATTACGTTTTCCACATGAAAGCTCACCTCGCCCTCTTGAAGAACTTCGACCTCTAGGAGCCCCCACCACTGTTCCTCCTCCTCCTCGTCCTGTCAATCGCAGGACAGCGGCACTATTTACAGACATGGAAAAGTTTCTCTGCCAAAAAAAAAAGAAGAAAGAAAAGAAAAAAGAAAAAAAAAAGTGGATGAAACAGATAAAACTGTATGGTGCTCTTCCCCATCTCCCATTTCAACTATAAAATGCATGTCATTACTACAAGCAATGGGAAACCGTAACTACACCACATCCTAAGATGATCCAAAACCTGATTTTACCTGTAAATCTCAAATTAACATTTCTGATCAACAAACACTGACCACCAATGTGTTATATTATACTAGGTTCTGTGAGGAAATACTAAATAATCCTCTAAACACTGTATGTATCCAGAAGCAAATGGGGCAAATATGCGTTGTAATAGAGAAAACTTGGTAAAAGAAATCCGGTTTGAAAGGATTCTTTAACTAGTGAAAGGTAGAAACAAGAGATGGTCACAAAAAGTATGAATCAAGAGTAGCATAAGGAGGAAAATAATCATTTTTGCCTCATTCTGATCACTAATGTGAATTAGCAACTCCAAGTAGTATTTAACAGAATGACAAGAATCATAAGTAAATAAGGAAGGGCCAAATAAGAATCAACCATCTTAATGGGGAGGAGAAAGGAATGCTTGAAAAAAATAAAAACCCCAATCTCTCAGTCATAAGCCTGAACCTGCACCCATAGCCAATCTGGATAGAATCAAATACAGTAAGATAGGAGTGGGAAACCTTCAAACATGAAGAGGAAGATACAAGAACACAGAAAGCCTGGGAGTGAAAAATGTTTAGTTGACATTTCTGGGTAAACGGAAATACATAGGTCTTAGGAAAAGGTAAAGCAAGAAGCAATTTTTAAAATCTTGAAAATGATCTATAAAATATAAATATCCAGGGGTGCCTGGGTGGCTCAGTCAGTTAAGCGTCTGTCTTCGGCTCAGGTCATGATCCCAGGGTCCTGGGATAAAGCCACATGTTGGGCTCCCTGCTCAGCGGGGAGCCTGCTTCTCCCTCTCCTCCCCACTCGCTCTTGATCTCTCTTGCTATCTCTGTCTCTCTCTCTCTCAAACAAATAAATAACCTTTAAAATAAATAAATAAATATAAAAATCCTGGCTATTTGAAGGAGAAATCTGCAACAGCATTTTAAACTCAGAGAATGTTGGAATATATGCTTACTTGAATACTTTCTGTATCCTTAGAACCTAACAGTATTTGTGCAAAAATGCAGAGCTGTGGTATAATGAAGAAAATGCAACTTCTGCATGGCTGTAGCTAAGGGCCCTCCTGGCAGAGGGGCAAGAAGTGAGGCCTTATTAGAGTTGGATAGAGGGGGGCGCCTGGGTGGCCAGTCGTTAAGCGTCTGCCTTCGGCTCAGGTCATAATCCCAGGGTCCTGGGATCGAGCCCCGCGTCGGACTCTCTGCTCAACGCGAGGCCTGCTTCTCCCTTTCCCACTCCCCCTGCTTGTGCTCCCTCTCTCGCTGTGTCTCTGTGAAATAAATAAATAAAATCTTGGAAAAAAAAAAAAAGAGTTGGATGGAGGGGCAACTGGGTGGCTTAGCTGGTTAAGCATCCGATTCTTGATTTCAGCTCAGGTCATGATCTCAGGTTCATAAGCAAGACTATGAAGTCCCAAAATCTAGATTCATATATTCTAACACTGGAAAAACAGAGCTCAGAGCTAAATGCATTATGTATGCCAGGATCCCATGCAGTTGAACACATTACCGAATATGCATAAAACTCAAATGTACCGATCAATAGAGCGCAGGGAAACTTGCATATGCTTTCCTATACCCTCACACAATGCAGCTGAAAGTGCAAACTTCTATCATCTCTGGAAGACGATTTCTCAAAGTATATTTAAATGTCTATACCCTTTGACACAATTCTCTTGTAACACATGTGAAAAATCACAAAAGCAGAAAGATCTTAAACTGCAGAACTGTTTGTAAAATCAAAATTGGGAACCACCTGAGTATCAACCAATGGTAGCTAATTTAAAAATCATGGGGCGGGCGCCTGGGTGGCTCAGTTGGTTAAGCGACTGCCTTCGGCTCAGGTCATGATCCTGGAGTCCCGGGATCGAGTCCCGCATCGG